ATTTGGATTAGTTCGTAGGCTGTCAAAGCATCAAAATCTAGTTTAGGATGGTGCCAAAATTCACATTTAAACAGCAGAATAAAGCATAGCTTGTTTAAGTGCAATTATCAGGCCCATATAGTGACTCAGGTTCTTCCTCAGTTTTGAGAATCACAAATTTAAAGTTATTTAAGCACCATAATTCTTCCACTCAGGTATGTCCGTCATGTTGGTTAAATAAAAGAAATCATTAATGTTGCTCACATTTCTGCAAAAAAGTACAAACTAATTGATCAAAAGCTGTTTGCTAGATTAAATAAAATGCATATAAAATACTGAGCATTTTTCTAGCATTTAGAGATGCCTAGTGAATAAGATACACCTGTATGGGCACCTATACCTGCAGAAGCTTAGTCTCTTTACTTCAGACAGGTAAGTCATACTTGTTGAGGTCGATGATCATCCCTGAGCAGATTCTAGCTTTGCCCCTCACAATTCATGGTATGTGCTGCTCTTTACAGAGTAAAGTACTACTTCCACCTTCCCATCCATGGGGCTTCAGGCTGCAGCCAATCCAGGGAGCTCATTAGGGCCTCACATTCCTTCACCCCTTCCCAGACAGAGGTGCTGTGCTCCAGAGAAGGTGTTCCTAGGTGGAGACTTCCAGTGGTCACATGGGACTCCTAATGAATGTGGCACAAGGCCAGAAGTCCAGGTGAGAGCCCGCAAGGCTGATGAAGGCAGACGTTTGTTATCAACTGTCAGAGGAGACACCAGGATATATATGGGACCCATCAAGTATGATCCTCTGCTACGAAGGTGAGTCTACTTTGGTTGAGATTTATATTTCTAGTATTTTAGAAAGTCATTCTGAATGTTTCATATAGGTATGTGTCTGGTGATAGTTTACATGTAAATTTGGAATTGCAAAGTCATCTTTTTAGAGCTGCATCACAATTGATGCAGAATAAGTCTCCTAACTGTCCACATGATGTTTTGAAAATGTAAGATGCAGTTTGTGTTCATCCAGAGCCATCAAGTCCAAAACTCTTCTTGAAAGAGCCATCAATTTGGTTAAATGAGTAAGTTCCTGTTAGTGATTTTTTTTTTCACAGAATCATGTGGTTGCTTCTAGACGAAGAATTTTATTTATTTTTATTTTTTGTGGAGATTGTTGAATGTAATGCCAATATCTAGAACAATGATCTGTGTTCCCGTGTGTAAATAGCGAGAAGGAGACTCATCAGTTTACCTACCAGCATGAGAAAGAATGTGGTCTTGAGGTAAATAAACACAAAATCCCTCATATCACTTATAAATAAAGACCTTAAAATGGATAATTTTAAAATGAAGGCAAGGTATACTGTTAATTTTAAAATAATAGAAAGGAGTCTTTTTTGCGTGGGGGGGCGGTAATAGAGATTGAGTGGGAGCTCAAGCTTCCCACTGAGCTTCATGCCCTGTCTTCTGCATTTTTTATTTTGATTTTGAGACAGGGTCTTGCTAAGTTATTCAGGGCCTTGCTGAGTTGCTAAGGCTGGTCTCAAACTTACGATCCTCCTGATTTAGCCTCCAGAATCTCTGTGATTACAGGTGTGTGCCACCACAGGCAACTCCCTTTCTTTCTGTAAAGGATGCATACCAGATAATTAGGAGTATTTATCCCTTATTCCTGGAGGTGAAAATTTTCCCCACTTTAAGCTATCTACATACAGCTTTAAATTAATTTAGTCCACAAATTGACTTAAAGAAGAAGTACTCATAAGCATCCGTCAACATTCTCATAATTTTCAGAGTTACCCTTGCCTTTTAATTAGGGAACACAGACTTCAGTTATCAAGTAAATGCAGCCGTTTATACATAATGCCAAAAAATATTTTATTTAAAAAATGATTTTAATAAAGCATAGTGAAGATTACCAAGCTGCAAGAATTTTATTTATTTTTATTCAGAATTGAATAGTAATTAAAAGAAGATTAATACATTCAAATTCATTTTCTATTAAGTTATCTGGATGATATATCATTCTAGAAAGCTTAATTTATTGGATACAATACATCATAATTTTTCACAGTGTAGGAGGAGAATGAAGATTTATTTACTTGTTACAATTTCTCCTAGATGTGGATTGGTGTGTCTATATTAAGCATGTTTCTCTTTTCCTCTTTTTTTCCCCTCACATATAAATACATTTATCTCTACTTTTTCTCTACTTCTAAGACTGTTTATTCTAAAAAGTATAACATTTTAGAATAATAAGTTTATTATTTCAAATCTTAGAATTTTGGCTTCAGGTTGCAACAGCATTTGGTCAAATGTCAAACTGACATTTTTTGCATATGACTTTCAAGCTTCAAGCTTCTGAACATGTAGGAAAAATGGTAACATGATCTAGACTAAAACCTAAAATTAAAACATGTGTTTGAATGTACAAAATGACTTGGGGGACTAATTCTAAATCATCTTATTCATTAAACATTTAATTCATTGAGTGATAATGTTTAGATTTATGATTTAAAACATAAGAAATAGAATTTAAGTAACTTGCCCTCATAAATATAAAATCATAGTTAAAACTATTTTTTAAACTACAATTTCAGGTTCCTATTTAGCACATATTAAAATTCATATATACCTGCCCAGAGAGAAAATATGATTCCTAAAATCATATCACATCGCCCGGCAGCACCCTGCGGATCCTGGAAAGCTGACCAGGCAGAGGTCCCAGAGTGCAGGACTGCGGTTCCCAAGCCCAGGGGTCCTCCAGCTCTATGTCCTGCAGCCACAGGACCACTGGGCTGTGGCTTGAAGTTGCAGGGAAGGCTGTGCAGCCCAGGAGCCAACAGACAGTCGCTCCGTAGGTGGCAGGCACAACAAGGGGCCACCACACTGAGCTGCAAGCCAACCCTCTTGCAGAGACCTGGTCCACAAAGTCTTTTCCTGTTTGGCCCAATTTTCGCATACAGTATTCATTTCCCTGACATCCAGTGCTTGTCAAGCCTTCTAGAGATGCAGGTTCTACCGTGTGTTGTGTCCACTCATCTGAATGCTTCTATGGTGGATGTGGCACTGCCCTTTTGTGGGTCCCTGACACAAACCACCAGTGTGTGAGGTCGCAGTCCTGCCTGCCTCCTTACCATCACAGCATCAGAGTGCTGACAACATCAGACCACCCAGATCAAAGATCACCGTCACCCTTTCTGTGTGTGCAGTAACTGAGGACCAGGCAATTTCTACAGAATGGGCTCAGTCATTTTCATGAATTTAAAGCTTCAGATGAAATCAGTTTGAGCTATGCTCACCAGAGATAGGTCTCGGATCCTGGTTGGGTAAAAAGCAGTGCATTTGTGCATTTTCTTCTAATAAAGAATGGATTGGCTCCTTAGAGCTATTTGTTCTTTTTGGTCTTTATGAGTTTATAAGCTTTGTTTTTAGTAGAGAGTTAAAAAAATTGTAAAAAGTCAACACATATTTCTTTTGCTCAATGTGTAACAACTTTCTACTGCAAAACCTTCCAAAGGAAGCTGTTTTCATTTTTGTGGACTTAGTAAGTCTGACTGTATCTATAAAGAAAGTGAATTTATCTATTCAATTTTAAAATCAGGTACTGTAATGCCTTTATTTTTATTTTTATTTTATTTTATTACTTTTTTTCCTCATATTTTTGTGGTACTTCAGGGTCCTTTGTGAATCCATACAGATTTTAGGGTAGTTTTTCTAGGAGCCCATCCTTGGTATTTGGAAGGGGACTACATTGAACCTAAGGGCCACTTTGGGTAGTGTGGACATTTTGACTATATGATTTCTTTAGTCTAAAATCATGGGGGATCTTTCTCTTTTTGTCTGTTTGTTCGTTTCTTCCTCAATTTCTTTTACAGGTGTTTCATGGTTTCACTGTAGATGTCTTTCCCTTACTTGGCTGAGCTCATTTCCAGCTGTTTCTTTTCTCACAGCTGTTCTGAACAGGCCTGCTTCCATTACCTTCCCATCACATCCACTCTCCATGGACGGGAAAGGTACGGATCTTTGTGTACTGACCCTGGATCCTGCTTGTTTACTGAAATCTTTTATCAGTTCTAATAAGTAGATTTGCAAATATGAATTTAGGTATTTAAACCATGTGGGATTTTTCTTTTTGAGTCTATTCGATTCTTTGTGACTAATAGTGATCCTCATCCCTATTACCTGCCCTCCTCAGGAGCACTGATCAAAGTCAGAGCTGCCCAGGTGGCTGTCTCTCCAGGTCTGTGGCAGTGTCTGATGCAGCAGCATGCTGTGCAGGGCAGATCACAAGCCCAAACGTACCTCGGGAAGAATATTTTATCTCATAGAAGGGGTGGTATGCAAACACTGGAGGCTCTAGAGCAGGAGGAAATAAATGAGAATATCTGGGCCAAATATGAGGGAAGTAAAAGGTCACTTAACATGAGGAAGGAAGCAACTATCAATTACTTGAGATACTACTAGTGTTCAAAAGAAGAATTTCCTTTATAAAATGTATATTCCTGTCTGTGGCCCCTTGGAATGCTCAGTAAAATAAATATAACTTCATGTTTATTTTTAAGAGGAGCCTAATTTGAAATCAGGTAGGTTTCCTAAAGTTGAATACAAACCATTTACAACACCAATAAATCTAAATGGCGGATGTCTAACTATTTCTTTCCTCAACTGACTCATTTTGGTTTCTGTATACACAGAAAAAAATAAAAACTAGTGGTCCAAGAAATATAGAAATAGTAATACTAACTCTTGACCACTACATAATACTTAACAACTTTGGATATTTTGATCCATTTTGACATTACTATCCTGGGTGAAGCACACATAAACCTCAGTGGAGAGTGGGATATACGCTATGAAGAAGTGGAGTGACCAGCCAAGGGAAGCCTGCCCAGTGGGAGGCAGGGCTTTGCACCAGGACCCTGGATTTCATGCCTGTCCAGGTGCAGGGCTCTGCAGTCACACTGAGACTGGATGATAACCCTTCCTCCTCTGTTTTTCCACAGCTTACAATGGTTGAGACTATGGAGAAGAGCAACACCACCTCTGACTTCATCCTCCTAGGACTCTTCAAGCACACAGGACTCCACCTCTTTCTCTTCACTGTGGTGCTCACAATAGCCATCAGCTCTCTGGTGGGCAATGCCCTCATGATTCTCCTGATTCAACAGGACCTCCGGCTCCACACGCCCATGTACTTCCTCCTGAGCCAACTGTCCCTCATGGACAAAATGCTGGTCTCCACCACTGTGCCCAAAATGGCTGCTGACTACTTGACTGGAATCAAGTCCATCTCCACTGCTGGCTGTGGCTTGCAGATCTTCTTTCTTCCAACTCTGGGTGGTGGGGAGTGCTTCCTCTTAGCAGCCATGTCCTATGACCGCTATATGGCTGTATGCCACCCTCTGTGCTACCCCATGCTCATGAGCTGGCCACTGTGTCTGAGGATGACCGTGGGGTCCTGGTTCCTGGGAGCAGCTGACGGGCTGATGCAGGCAGTTGTCGCCCTGAGCTTCCCGTTTTGCAACAGGCGAGAGATAGACCATTTCTTCTGTGAGGCCCCCACGCTGGTGCGCTTGGCTTGTGCTGACACGTCTGTCTTTGAGAATATCATGTACATCTGCTGTGTGTTGATGCTCCTGGTGCCCTTCTGCCTCATCCTGACCTCCTACAGTCTCATCCTGGCTGCTGTCCTCCGCATGCGCTCCACAGAAGCCCGCAAGAAGGCCTTTGCCACCTGCTCCTCACACATGGCTGTGGTGGGGCTCTTTTATGGAGCTGCCATTTTTATCTACATGAGACCCAAATCCTACAGGTCAGCTCACCACGATAAGGTGGTGTCAGCCTTTTATAGCATCTTCACCCCTATGCTGAACCCCGCCATCTACAGCTTGAGGAACAGCGAGGTCAAGGGAAGCTTAAAAATGTGGCTGGGAAAATGTGCAAATATTAAACACCACCAAACTTGGTCCTGTTCAAGATGAGTCTGAGTTCCTGAATTTATTGACATTTTAAATATATTGTGATATTCACTACATTACTAATGAATAAAAAGAAAGTTAAGTCTATATGTCAGCATCTTTAGTAGTTAATAATTGAGTCGCTTGCATTGAGATATATAATTTTTGAGAATGTGTTATTTGCTGTGCTCCATGTGAAGCAATGTCTGTATCTGCAACAGACTCAAATTGTAAGTGCTGTTGACACCACCGCTTGCTTTCTAGATGAAGAAATGAAGAAAAGGAAAAGTAAATATTGTTCCTAATGTCACACAGAATGTAAGTTTTAGTATATGCCTTCAGAGTTTGTTTCCTAACCTAGTATATTTTATTTCTGTCCATTAATTTATTTTTGATGCTCTTTACTATATGTATGCTCTGTGAATTTGCACAAAGTACTTATAGGGGCTCCAAAAAAGACAAATAAGAACATTACTATTTAGATATAAGTTAAAATATTGGCAATTAATATCTGTAAGATGGAGAAGAAAGGTCACCACTGCTATGTCCACACAACAAGAATTCTGTACCCCCTGTGGCCAAAGTTCATCTAAGGGAGCCTCAGGAGATATTGAAAGCCTAGTGGAGCCCAAGACAGAAGGGTTGTTTTGAGGGTCAGGCCCACAGTCAAGCAGCAGGCCCACTGATTGTGCTCCTAGATTCCCTGGGGTTTAGGAGGAGCTATGGCTATTAGTGTCTGAGCAGAAACGCTCTTCTTCCCTCTGACATCAGTAATGCCAGTGGACATTCCTTTCGGCTTTGATCCTGGATGATACTTGATTCCCATGCTGGTAATCTTGCTTCGTACTTGTCTCATCTTCCTCGTGCAGTTAGCAAGCTACCCGTATCTGAGCATCCACAGCAGGCTCACATCTCCATCCCATGGTGAGCCCTTGGGCGGCTCTACCTTAGGCCCACGCCCTCTCACTGCCCTGAGAGCGTGCACATGTGCAGAGAACTTCTGAGAGGTGTGTGTCTTATCAATGACACAGCTCAAAAGAACCATTCCATCGTGCGTTCTGGGATTGTTCGGTCTGGAGCCCAGCCCCTCTTGCTGCAGTCAGAAGAATCTCTACTTAAGCAGAATTCTCCTGAGGGACACGTGCTGTTCTGGATAGATGGGCTTGCCAGCCTTGATTCTACAATGGATCTGGGGGCAAGGAGAGTCTCAGCTCCAGCACATCTTCCTGCAGTTGGGAAAACATCCCACCCATGTGGGGACCTGTTGAAATACTTGTGTTGTCTGACTCAATGAGATGGCTCACCAGCTCTGTTCCAGCAGTGAATCCAGAGGCGGTTCAGGCATCTCTAGCTGTTCCCACTGCATCTGGGAAACTATTCAGTCCATGCAGATAACTTCTCGGTAACCAGATGGGACTCCAGGCTTGGGACCTGGCTGCCTTCCCACACAGCCTGGGTGCCATCTCTGTGTCTTCCTCAGGCCATCCAGACCACAGTTCCTGCCAACAACACAGGAGAAATCACAGGACTCGGGATGCACTGGGATTAGGGGTACCTGCTAGTGATGTCAGCGGTCAGAGCTTGGGGAGTAGAGTCAGCAGCTTACTTTAAATGTTCTGAAGGTCACTTGAAGAAAAACAAACACAAATTCACTATAAAGGCTAGAATCCCTACCTAATTATTTAATGCATAAACCTACAAGTGTCAGGAACATTTGAGGAATTATGACTTTATCAAATGGGCAAAATAAGACATCAACGACTGATCCAAAGACGTGTGAACTCTCAGACAATAACTCAAATAGCTGTCTTTAAACGAGTTCAGTTAACTTCAAGGAATTTATCAAATACATTGAAATAATAAAAAGAATCAGAACAAATTCTGGAACTGAAAAAAAATATAACGTAGAAAGTGAAAAATGCAATGAAGAACAACCAAAGCAGAATTAATTAAGCAGAAGACAGAAAGGGAGCTAAAGAGAGGCTAATTGAAAATACCCATTCAAAGTTGAAAAGGGTCAAAAGAAAGAAGAATTTCTAAATAAAATATTTGTTTTCAGCTGTAAAACAAGTTTAAGCCAGTGAGTCAATGGGGCTCCCCTTATTTGTCTTTATGTAGTGGTCAGAGACTCTGGTTAACTTTAAGGGGAACCAAAAATGCTCAATGTATAAATTAATCATATTGTTATGTATGGCTAAAAACAACCAGTAAAAAAGTAAAAAGGAATATGTAGCGATATACATAATGGAATAGTACTCAAATATATAAAAGAACCAAATCTTGTCATTCACAACAACATGGGTGGACTTCAGAATCTAAAACAGTTGTTATCAGAAGTTCATAGTGTAAAAATGATTCACCATCAGATAAATAGGTTTTAGAACATATGGAGCAGAACAGTAGTATGGAAAGGCCATATAAATTTTATGAGGATAAAATATTTTAAGTAGACACAGGCTTGGTCTATAGGAGGAAATTGAGCAAGAAAACAAATAATCACAGAATGAACATTATCTTCAAGCAAATGTAAGACATTAATAACAATTGGCCGGCTACTTAGGAAATGAGGATGCATTCACAGAAATGATATTGTAGACCAATCATCTCATTACAATAAAATGAAGTATGAAATCCAAAGTAAAACTTCAAAATAGTATTTAAAATAACATGCCTTCCTTCCTTCCTTCCTCCCTTCCTTCCTTCCTCCCATGTTTATTTTGGGGGAGTCAGTGCCCTTAATTCCTTAATAAATATCTGCATAAAAGTCCATTCAGATGCATTAGTACAGCTTGTTTTCTGTGGATCCCTGGTGTTGCAGTAGAAAACCTGGCAGAGGCAGAATGCAGAGAGCACTAACAGGAGAAGCTGGGTCACTGTCATTTGCTGTGTGTCGTCTTTAGCTGTTTCTTGGACACACGGGGTTATTCACAACTTCTTCCATCACTTCAACACCCAAACCAATTGTGAAAGGAAAAAGTGTCCTCATTTATACTTTCCTTTTCTGGGGCTGGGGCTGGGGCTCAGGGTGCACACTTACCGGGCATGGGTGAGGCCTTGGGTTCGATTCTCAGCACCATGTATAAATAAATAAAATAAAGGTCTACCAACAACTAAAAAATATTTTTAAGAATTTAAAAAGTAAAACAACAACAACAAAAAAACCTTTCCTCTTCTGAAAACTTTCCTCAAAGCCAGCACCATCCCCTCACTGGCACGCTCTTGTGGCACGTGCCCAGAGCTGGGTGAAATGTGTTTCTTCAGTCTTGAAGACAGAGGGAAGAGTGTGTGTCAGGGTTTGGATGGGAGGTGTCCCCACAAGGCAGGATTTGCAGAGGTGAAATGGTTGGGTTATGAGAGCATTGATCTCATCAGTGGGTTGAGAATCCACGGTGCAGATTAACTGGTTGCTAACTGCAGGCAGGTAAGGCCGGGCTGGCGGGGTCACTGGAGTGTGTCTTCCAGTGTTTCTGTTCTTGTCTCTGGGGAGCAGCGCTCTGTATCTCTGCTTCCTGGTGCCGGGTTCTGAGCTGCTTCCCTCCACCACAGCCTCCCACCAGGATGTTCTGCCTCACCTCGGACACAGAGCTGTGGCGTTGACTGAGGACTAAACCTCTGAAACCATGAGCCACAATAACGTGTCCTCCTTTAATGTTGTTCCCGTGGGGTCTTTTCCTGACAGCAGCACAAAGGCTGACCAAACCACGTCTCTACACATAATCCAAAGTTTATAAATACTGGCAAATCAAGGGTACCGTTGAGTCATTTTTACCGAAATTACACGTGATAAGGACACTGATTTCCTAAATATTGTTAAAATTATCAAGTAAAAGTAAGACATCTTTCTCACTCCGGGCCTTGCTGAGATGTTATGCACTAATGACTTACTTCTTCCTTAAACACTTTGCCATGATCCATGGGTCACTTCTCTTCCTCTTCCTCTTACATCATTGCTTTTTCTTTTGCAGTCTTCTTAATGAATCCTCTTCATATAATTGGCCTTTAAATTTGAGGCACCCAGATCATCCCTCAACCCCTTGCCCACTGACACCCCCTTGGATGTCTCCAGCTCCAAGATTGAGCTGTCACCTGCCTCTGATGACTCTCCAGTCATATCTGTGTCCCTGATTCTTTCCCTGTCTTCAGTGTTATACCTAATGCCTCCCTTAATTATTTCAACTGCAGTTATTATCTCAGGATAATAATAAATTAATAAACAATAATAATTCATTATTTCATGATTCTTCTTTAAAATTTTTACTTTTTGAGTTTATGCCAAGTGCTTTAATATCTTACATCAAAATATTAATGCATGAGTATATGAGTGATACAGAAAATTTTGAGAAATATATAGTATATTAATAATTAATATAGAGAAATTTGAGGAATAGTACAATAATCACCAACATATTCTCCTTTTAAACCTTAAACTTAATCTTTATCATATTTTAGTTAGCTTTCTTCTATTTCTAAGTCTTTGACAATAGCTTGCAGGAATAGCAACACTTCACTTCTGCGTACCTCATCAGGTGTCTTAAGAAAAAATACATAGTATATAGTATATATACTATATATTGTATATATAATACACTATGATTACAATATATATCATTTCAATGATATCACATTTATGTAACATTTCATAATCAGGACTTATTCAATTTTCTCTCAGGTTTTCCTAAAATGAAATGTGTATTCATCTTTTTTGTACCAAAGCTCATCAAGTTTTATGTACATGGAAATATTATTTGCTCTTTAACAAAGAGACACCACCATATCATTGCAACAGCACAGATTACATGGGGGCATTATGTTAAGTGAGGTAAGTCAGGCTGCAAAAGACAAATATCGCATGATCTCACTCCTGTTCACTCTAAGCAAGTTGCACTCATGTGAGTTGAGAGCAGAATAGTGGCTACTAAAGTCTGGGGAGCCCAGTAAGGCAGGGGATATAGCAAGGTGTTAGTCAACAGCCACAATGTTGCAGTTAGATAAAAGAAATAGTTCTGTTACTCTAACGCACAGTA